CATTGTGCCTGATTCTACCGACCATTCTACCCTGCCATGGGGACATTATAAGATACCATTATAAATTAAAAAACTCATATATTTGTATTAACACATATATAGTATATTTGGAATAATCTCATATATTTTTAATAAACATAATGTTTTATGCATATAATGAAAAAAACAATTTGCGATATAAATTTATTTTACAACACGTTATCCTTGTGTATCCATGAATTATGTGAATCATCCAATCCCAACCATTTCACATATACCTCTTTCCCTCTTTTGCGCAAAACTTTTTCAACGAGGTATACGTCGGGATTAGCAACGCGATGCAGTTCGTATTCATAGAATCCTCCGGCTATGGGTTTTCCACGAGAATCCTCCAAAAGATACGTTGCGGGATTAGTTTTCTGCACCTTGATGATTTTAAACACTTTAGTGGTCCAGTTTGGTGTGTAACCCTTGTCAAAAATTATCTTGAATTTAATGACGCGTATCGAGTCACCCACTTTGAATCGTGCGGGTGCGGCGATCTTTACGTGGTTATACACCGTGGTTAAGAGCTTGTTGGCGATTGTGGGGGTGACGTCGATGAGTCGCATACCGATAGTTCGATGCTTTTGCGCGTAGTATTCAGACATGAGACGCGGTAGCAAATCGATCCACCTAGTTTCCATTGTATGTAAACTGCTTCCACATGCTGTTTTTTAACGTACGGTTGAACTGCTCGACTACTGATGCCTTCATTACTGAATATGTAGAATAATGATTGATGTTATGTTTCTTTAAAAGATTCTGCACGTTGGCATTATAAAATTCCTTTTCCCTATCAGTTTGTAAATTTTTCGGGCATCTTCCACCGTGTCGAATTATCTCTGCGATCGCTTTAGTCACATTACTTCCGCTCTTGGCCTTGAGAGGTACGGCCCATGCATGCTTACTCAGCACATCGATAACGGTGAGAATGTAGTGGTAACCTCTGTTGAATCGCGTATAAGGACGCATCTCGACCACATCCGCCTGCCACAGGTCATCGTATCCGCAAACTATGACGCGTCTTCGTGGAAAATTTCTTCTCGCGGGAGCGTGCAGTTTTTCAATCAGCTGCTGCTTTTCGAGACTTTTCTTTTTCGGCA